AGCCTCAGGCTCCATACATCTGCTCTCTTTATCTGGTTTTTCTTCCTAAAACATTTCCCCCCACTGCAGTAGAGGTGGTTTAAGTTAAGGGGATTGCTGGAAATTCTGGCCATAGCAGGCGTGATTTGGCAAATGGCAATAGACAAGGCTTGCTTATTTCAGTGCATTTATGCTTTAAGACAGTGTTTTGGTAAACTGTGTCACCTGTTGACATACCCCAGCTGCCTAGAAATGTGTAGGTAATGTGCTAGCTGCCATAGCAACCGGCATAAAATTTTTATTTTCCATCAGATCCTCATTCTTCTGTGAGTTGTTGAATGTATCAACTAGGAAACTAGGAGTGGCTCTTAAGTCTCAAATAGCAAAGCAAATCTAAGATTACTATAGCATCACATCAAGAGGGTCAAGTTCACATGAAAAGCATTCAGGGTGACCAGCCAGAATGTACTTAGCAAGTTAAGGTCCAGTTCCCACATGTATTCCATCATGGTGAATTCAGCCCAAGATAGTATTCATCATGTAAATCTAATCAGGTAGAATTATTTTTCATCTCCATGAGATGACAATAGTCGCACTATTTGGACATAAGCTTGAGAACAAACTCCTTGATCAGACATATATTCAGCTAACATCTGGTGTGTTTTTGTAATATTCACCATGAGAGAAGAGAGTGTAAAGTCTACATGCTTCAAGAGTTTGTGGGGAAAAGGCAGGGAGAGAACTTTCAAGCCTTAAACACCTGCATGATGACTAGCTGTCATCCTTCATTTTAAGCTTGATAGATCTGCCTCTACCAACCATATGAACAGACCAAATTAACACAGAATATTACCGCACATAATACTTGCAAATACTTTCTATTCTATTGGATTAGTTTAACTTATTGCCAATAACCACAACAATTTAAGGCTTTTTAAAGTAGCTGTGTTCTCATCTACTTTTCAGGAGACAAACTGTGTAATATCCCTTCCACACATACACCCAATATACAGAAGCACTGTCACACAGAACTTTTGGACCAATTCTTGTTTTACTTTTTGTACTCTAGTACGCATGCCATACTAAATGTGAAATTTGCACATTTCTCAGTATTTGTGGCTTTGAAATATGTCAGCAAAGCTTGAGCCTTAAACTATCATGTATATTTTATAGAAACAGACACTGAAAAGCCTGCATACATCTGAAAAATACTAGGGCTGTGTTACATGTATTCTGGAATCCATACTAGATTGCAAGGAGACAACTGAAAATCAAGTCTTAGATAAAGTTACATTGTTTAAAATGAGGAATCTGTTTAGATGATGGTCCCACATATTTTAAGCTCTGGTCCTAGAGCATCTACCATGTTTCTGGATAGTTCCATAGCAGCAGCATAGCAAAATATAAACCACAAGACTGTGACCTATGGTCATCAGCATGATGCTACATTTATGGACACTGCTAGTTGCCCAGCTTCCAAAACATAGATACAGGGTTGAGGGAAAAGGAGATCTGCTATGTATCACTTTAGGATCTTCGGACTAGTATGCTCCATTTGGCCCTTCCTGTCCATTGTGTTTTTCCTGGGGTGTGGGGAGAAAACAAAAGACTACCTAACTTCAAAAATGAAGGTTTAGAGACTTCAGACAAGCCCACAAAACAAATAATGTTTCCTAGCTCTCCCTGGCTTTTTCATCTATGCATGCATTTCAGCTGATACAAATATTTTGGAAACTTGGTTTAGGTAGAATTCATAGAAGCAATCCCAGTTACTCTAAAACCAGCAGTTTGCACTTTGATGCAAAACAAGGGCAGAGATAGTAACAAAAGGGCTACGACACTCACTGTCCTCTTGTAGTATCAGATGTGTTTAGCAACACTAGTCTTTCAGAATGTTCATTTTATTGGGATTAACACAGTACTTCTGTTTTCATCCCAATAAAGCAAGATCACCCAGTATTTTACCACTGATAAAATACTACTTGCTTTTGCTTTTCCCAGTGGTTAGTCATACAGGCATAAATAACATAGAGCCCTTTCAAAACATAGGGAAGTTGGCTTTTTCATTCCTGGGAGCCACCCTTTTCTACATTATATTATATTGATAGCTTGAGAACCACAGCAACTTTCTCAAAGCATGGTTTTTTTAAAAAAAAATTATTCTTGAATGAAATAGTCTTGAAATATTGGGGGAGGGGGACTACAGCTGTGGAGGAGACTGTTGCAGATCTTGTGCCAAATATTTATATCCTGTGATATCCCATACTAAATATTTTGATATACGTACTACCCCCCTCCCTGCACATAGATAATGGCACTGGCTGAGGGGGGGGGGGATTTTCACCAATCTGCACTTCATACCCCTACACGTCACACCCATGCTATTCTTGAAAGATATGAATATAGATCAGGGTCCTTTGGATCCAAGCCACTATGTCCTTCCTACCAAAGGAGATGTGGGAGGGGGTAGTAGTGTAAGTCTTGCAGTCTCATTTGCTACCATTTCTTTCCTGCTTCTCGTCCTCCAGGGGCTACCTTCTCAAACACATAAAACCCCACATTTGTTGTGCAATATCAGGCCATATGATAGACAGGCAGACAACACCTTTCACTGCTCTGAACAGGATGGTGTAGTTGGTGTTTTTTTAGAAAAACTGGACCTGAATTCTCAAAACATACCACCTGTCATCACCCACCCAGCTATATTTTCCTGTTCTTTCAGATGTTACTGCAGTACTTATACAAATAAAAATAATGGAAAATGCAATCTGTGAAAACTACGTTCAAGAACAGCCTGAATTTGCTGCTCAGCTTTATACAAAGTCCATATAAATGCCAACATCTTATAAGGGATGTATTTACAGCTATTTCTTAAATAGCTAACTTGACTCTGTGTGTGTGCGCGCGCAAAAACATGTACACAGCTCTAGTACTAGGACAACACATAGCATGAGTTTTAGCCCTGAATTTCCAGTCTTACCCGAACTGTAAAGGGTCAGTCAGTCAAGTCTAGGGCTAACTAGTTTAATTCACTCCAAGGGAAGAATTTTGAGAATACTTACTTCTTACATTCCAGTCCTATTTAGAGGCTGACCCAAGTCAGGGGGATGTTATGGTTGTTACAGGAAATATTGGCATCTATATATTTTACTTCCATACTTTAGGTCTTCAGAAAATACCAATGTAACTCGTAATGGTTCTTGCAACAGCTATAGCATGTAGCACTGTTCTTAAGCAGTTTGAGGATAGAGAAAAAAGTGTTGTATTTAATACTGGTCAGTACATTTGGGTGAAAAGGAATGGTCGGTGTTTGATCTGGCATGAGCACAGATTTGGAATGGTGGCAGGTCCTCAAAAACAGTGCTGCTAAAATCTAATGGAAAGACAACAAATTCAAGAAAGGCCAATTCTAGTAATATACTTCAAGTTATTCAAAGAATACCCAGAATTTAGGTGGAATGACAATTCAAATAGCATTTTTAGTGCTTCCTTCTTCCTCTGCATTTGACTCTCAATGCTTAAGGGCCACATGGCTCAGTAAAAACAGCATGAAAGACCCAGCCTCTGTCACCCTGTTAAATTTCAAGGTGTCTAGCATATTTGGTCCCTCCAACTGGATGACCTGTGCTAGCTGATAATGATGCACCAAGCAGCATTAGCCATTGCAATCCATCCCTCAGCCTAGTATCAGTATTCCTGAATCCTGATTCAGCCCTCGGAAATCCTTATACTGACCTAGCTGAAGTTCTTGCTACACAGAAATGGAGAACAGACTAATAATCTTGAGGCAGAGGCTCTTTAGTCTAATGGATCCTGAGCTATTCAAATGTAATCCTTTGAAAGAATTCAGAGAGAGCAAGAGTGAGATTTCTCATAATGCATGTGTGAAATAATACACTGTGCTTGTCCAATCTACAGAGTGTATATGATTTGCATGTATGGTATATTATTTGGATGTATATGCAAAAAAGAGAATACAGCCATTATAAACTGAATACATTGGAAGACAGTCATTGCCATTTTTTGAATATCTGTGATTGCTACTTTTTTCTACATCAATTGATTCTCGCTATTGAGAATCAAATTCTCCAGTGTGATCATTTTCTAAAAAGTGACTCATGCACATCTTTTTGCTTTCATGCCTGGATTTTTTTGAAAGTGGAAAAGGTGAGGAAAAGAAAGAAACAAAGGAAGTTCCTTTTCTTAACAGTTTTCCCCCAGATTCCAGTAGAGAAAGACTGGTGCATTACTACACTCTTACAACTGAGCCTAATTTCAGAAGGCTGCCTCCACTCGCACAAAGAATTCCAAGACTGTTTCCAAAGCTTCTATCTGCCCCATTTTAAAGGCTGGAGTCCTGTCAACTGTGCTTGACGTGACCACCACAAAAGCAACCTGATACAATACTCCAGGGCAAATGCTAACCTGTGCATAAAACACTGGAGCAGATTTAACTCATGCTGCCTACTTCTGTGGTCCCAGCAACAACAGGAAGGAGCAGAAGAATGAAGTACCACTGTAGCACGTAGTTAGTGCTCTTGGTACACTAGCTTAATTTACCCATGGGGGGTGGGGGAACCTGTCAGGAAATAGAGTGGAAACACTGCTACACAAAAAGAAAAAAAATAAGGCACCTAAAGAGTTCTAGGCATATGAGTTCCTCCAGTGCACTCTAAAGACGTCATGATTTTCCTCTACGTTTTGAAGACAGAGGAGACAACCACTAATCCAAAAGCAAAATTCAAATCTGGAAAATGGAAGCAGGTACATCCTGAAGTTGGAGTACTTGTGCAAATGCCTATGAGGACCTGTCCTGTTCAGAGATGTGTTTTGCCACTTACACCTTAGAGGAATATTTGGTACTCAAACTGAAACAAAGTGGCCAAGTCCTAGAAGGTCCCCAGCTTGTTCCCTGAGGAACTGGGAAAAAATTAGCAAACTAGCCACCATTTAACAGGAAATGTAAAAACATGTGCTAAACTTTAAATCAAGCAAATGCGAAAAGAATATACTTTGGTTGATTATTTCTTGTTAAATATATTTAAGTTAGCAGCCAACAATCTCCTCATAAGTCCTGACTGAAAATGAAAGGTCTTGCACTCCCAACGTGGGTAGATTTTGGGCATGAATCTGGAAATGTTGTGACAGAAGCACTGTAGCTTCCTAAGACACACTCACAATGTCCACATGGCAGCATGACAGGTAACATACCCACTGCAGCTATGGCCACCGTGATGTCACTGTGACAAATAAATAAGAAAGCAGCATGTTAGAGCCATGCACTTTCCAATGGCAAGACCCTGAAGCGATAGGAATAAAAGCCAGATTTTGCTTTGCCACATACAAAACACAATTTTGAGCTCCTGTAGCTACTTCAGTTGTGCAAGTAAAAAGTCACTGTTTATATGCTAAAGCAGTAAGTGAGTGCTTGGTTCAAAAACCTTGGCCTCAGAACCATACAAGAGTCTTGTTATAGAGGAGCAAACTCCACAGGACACAGAGGGAGAATTCAGTCTTCTGTCTCTTCATATGTAGTCTCATCGAAAGGCCGGTCAAGGAGAGGTACCAATCGGTGACGGGAATATTTTATTTGCAAGAGGTCTCCAACTTCATCTAATTCCTTTAAAGCCTGAAAAATAAACGAACAGCAAATGTTAAAGGTTAAGGGCAGAAAATAGACCATACCCCACATTACACAAGGTGGCACCAGTGGTGCTGTGTACCAGTGTGATGCACTGGTTGGACTAGGATCTGGGAGACCCAGGTTCAAATTCCTACTATGCCATGGAAGCTTACAGGGTGATGTTGGGCAAGCTGCACACTCTTTGCTTAAGGACAATTTTACTGAGGACGCTTTGGCTATACAATCTTTGGAAGGCACTTTCTGGACCAGAAACTATCAGTGAAACACCATTTGGCATGTGATTGCACCTTTGGAGGCCTCACTTATACTTTTATTCTGTGCCTAGTGGTTTCACTTTGGAATAATTCTTTTCTGATCCATCTTGTATCTATGTTACATAATATATGATTGTATTGTACTATGATATAAGGCAATATGCTCCTTATTATGTTTGACCTCGGAAGAAGGCCTATACAGGCCGAAACGCGTCAAGTCCATTGGCCCTAGTGTGCTAAATTTTGGCATTTTTACATGAGATGTGATTGGGCCCTTATATGCTTTTTAATTCTTTGTTAATAAATACATGTATCTTTTCATACAATATTATTAGGTTCAAACTCATACTATGCCATGGAAGCTTACTGGGTGACCTTGGGCCAGCTGCACACTCTTAGCCTTACCTACCTGACAGGGTTGTTGTTAGGATAAAATGGAGCCTTCAGGGGTCCCCACTGGGTAGAAATTCAGAGTATAAGCAAACTGAATAATTTCCATAGATTTCCTTCATCAAGCTGTGTCCCACTCCTATAGAGTATCCCCTGACCCTCAGGAGGAATTTTGGGATGTGTGCACACAGGGTGATGCGGTAAGAAGGGAAGGCACAAAAGTTTTGTTCTATGGGAAGAACAGAGCTCATGGTCTAGGATCCAACCCAAAGGGCAGGGAACTTAGGACCTGCAGAGGTTAGTGTTTGCTCAAGTCCAAATTATACCCCCCACACACAGCTAAGCCCTTCTCATATGCATGTGTGAAACTCCCCTCCATTTCAAAAGCAGAATTAAAATATATCACGAGGAGAGAGCTACTGAAAGCAACATGGCTCATGGAACTACCTTCCAGGTTCTTGGGAGTTTCTACTTTTAAAATTTTTTACGTATTTAACAGTTATTCCCAGGAGACTGAAAGCTTTCAGGGATGCTTTTCTTTTATCTTACTCCAGTCAGAATTACAGTTTAATCTCCAGTTGCGCACTATGGATTTATCTAGCAAATAGGAAAAATGTACTGTCCGTGTATGAGTAGATACTCTGCAATTCCACACAAGAAGGTTGGTATCCAGTGTCAATTGCAGTATCCTGAGAAACCTCAGCTTTTACTTACAAGATGGCTTGGAAAAATAGTTTGAAAGCATGTGTGAGTTTGAGCAACTTTCAATAAAATCCATTGGGTTGAAGGGTCTTCTTGCCCTCTTGCCTTTCCCATGACTAACAGAAGCAGAATAAACTATGTAAAATGGCACAGATTTTTACACGTAAGAACTCATTCTCGATACAGAATTTATAGGTTAGTGGAGAGAACCTACAGTCTTGCTCATTGTTTATGCCTCCTATTACTTCAGTGGGTGGAATTTAAGTGTCTTCGCTACAACAGCATTTTGCTCGAGCCACAGGGACTAATACAGGTTGATTATTTTCTTTGGTACATGAATAATAAACTTTTCTGTTCTCACTATGTCTCTTCTTTCCCCACAACCCTTCAATATACTGCTCCTCCTTGCCCCCTTCTTCTCAGGAGTCACTATGTGGCAACCATGTGAGGAAATACCCTCCCCAATCAGTAGCTCTTATCTCCTCAATAATGTGGCCTTAATAATAGACAATGGAAAACAAATGAGCACCATATGCTTCAAAGTGAGGATACAGTTTGGAAGAGCAGAACCCCCATTTACGCTGGACTGGGGGGCGGGGGGGGGGAAACCAGGATAGGAACTGCTAAGCAGAATTTAACAGTGAACACATTTTAGCAGAAGTTTAGCAAAAAAAGCAGCATATGGAAATCATTTGAGGTTGAATTTCTGTTGAAAAGAGTCCGCTAACTGTTATTCTTGAACTCAGATTTAGGATTTTATTAATTTAAAACAAAGAGGAGCATGTGACTTGCAAAGACTACAAAGGAAATGGCATGGCTGAACTCTGACTTCAGGAAAGTGTAATATATTATTCATCACTGAAAAGAAAGCACCAGCCCATAGGGATGCAGGTTACGAGGGCCTTTGCTCTGATCCAGGGCCAGAATATTTTGAGGCCAGGAAGTTTTACTTACATAAAACAGTTACACATTGTAACAGAGACCCCGCTACCCATCATGTGGGTTGATTTAATAAGAAAACATTACAAATAAAGGGTGCCCCCCCTCCCAGAAAGAGACCTCCTCACTCAGTTGGGGGGGGAATACACTTTCTTTTTAGCAGGCACCACTAAAATTCAGGTATTTTGGGGGGCAAGCTCTGTATAGCTTCACTTCTTCCCCATCCGTTTAGGCTCCCCCTACAGTTCATCCACTAGCACACGTTCCACTTCTCATCACTTTTGATTATTTGGTTAAAAGCAAAGTAGCTTGCTTTCGATGACTCTACACTCTGAACATGTGCAACCTTATCAATTCTGGAAAAAAAGGAAAGCTGAGTACTCTAAGATGATTTTCTTCTAACAAAGTTATTTTGGTACTCTTACATGAACAGGAGGTGATGTTCCGGGCACTGCTTATGGTAAAGGAGAGTGGGGGCTTCAGTGAGCGTCCTCATGTAGCATGAAACAGCTGACAGGTGGTTTGAAAGTTGCTACTTGAAAGGAGCAGGGTGGGGTTTTTTGTTTTTTGTTTTACACAGTCTGGTGGTACTGCAGAGATGAATGGATTCGCTTCGAGCCTCCTCAGTGGAGCAAATCTGCCAAAGCAATTTTTACTATCTTGCCTTTCCTTCAGCAGCCACTCCCACCATGGTGCCCCTCTGCTCCTGAACATCAGTATTCTCCAGAATAAGCTATGCGGCATGGAAGAAAGCAGCGGGGGGGGGGATTAGCCCGAATTGCCCCCCGTTCTTATGTAAATGCTTCATTTGTAGGATCTAATCTAATTAATTTATTGAGGGATGAGTTTTCGTGGATTAGAATCCACTTTGCCAGATGCAACAGAATTGGCTTTAGTCTACACTCGATGCCACAACATATTTGCTACTCTATGAAGAGTAACAATAAACATGTAGATACTTTCAGAGGGGTGTTCATTGAATAGGATCATTTAGCTTTGAAAGATCAATTTTGAACACTATGTAATTATATTAAGTACAGAAATGTTAAATGGATGATGTGTTCAGAACTTCCTAAGTAAATAAAACCGGAAGTATGGTGCCATTTCCATACGGGTAGCATCAGGGGCAGATTCTCTTGTTTGTTTAAGTAAGACTGCTCCAACCTATCATTCACCTGTCTAAAGCCCCTGGTTTGGATCCCACAGATATTTTTGTAGATAAAATGGGTTCTGTCCATGGCTTCCAATGCTGCTCCTGGGGTAAAGGGGACTTCTCTAAATCAGCTATGGGGAATGAGGAGTCAGAGATCTAGCAATAAGGAAAAACTGGCAAAAACAGCCTACTCCTTCTGTTCATGGAATTTCCCCCACTGGATCCAAGCTTTGTTCAGTGAGTGTATGCACCCAACTCAGCAGATCCAGTACCGGCAACCCACATGTATCCTGGTCTGTTCTGGTCCTTTGTTCCTTTAATAGCAGACATGGGCAAACAGATGGGCTGGGCTTTCCAGTGACCACAAATGTATTGTTGATGTATGAATAGGGGTGTGCAAAAAAATAAAATAAAATGCGGCCCAATTCGGATTTGGCCAAATCGGGCAGAATCAATTTCCACAAGCAGAAAGACTCCTGCATGTCAATTTCAGCAGTACAAGCTGATTCCAAGTCTTTTGGCAGCTGAATGTCAATTTCGGCCCCATTATATCCTATGGGCCATTGAAGTCAACGGCGAAAACATAGGGTATATTCTGGGGGTTGGAGGAGTGGGGGTTTGAAGGAGAGGCTCCAAACTCGCAGGGTAGCTGCTGGAGTCTCTCCCCAAGATACTCCCCAAGTTTCAAGAACATTGGACCAGGGGGTCCAATTCTACGGGCCCCCAAACAGGTTGCCCCCATCCCCTCCATTGTTCTCTTTCCCACCATAGAAAACAATGGAGGGGATGGAGGCAACCTGTTTGGGGGCCTGTAGAATTGGACCCCCTGATTCAATGTTCTTGACACTTGGTGGTTATCTGGGGGAGAGGCTCCAGCAGCTACCCTGTGAGTTTGGAGCCTCTCCCTCACACCTCCTCCTCTCCAGCCCCCAGAATATACCCTATGTTTTTACCATTGACTTCAATGGCCCATAGGATATAATGGGGCCGAATTGCCACCGAAATTCGGTGGCAAGCCTATTCAGATCAGAGAATCTGAATTGGCCCGCAGCAGTCCGAACGGGCCATTTTCGGGGGTGCATTCGGTTCAGACAAACCGAATGTACATCCCTATGTATGCACCATATGCTACCTGTTTCAGGGTTGCCCAAATTATTTTGGTTCTGCACTAAACAAACCAGAAATAGGGCAAGATGATGCACAGATGTGCTGTATGTAACACGTACTAAGTGTTTCAACATTTTTTTTCCCAACATCCAAATGATTTGTGACTATCAAACACGTAAGACATAGTGTTCATTTTTTTAACTGAGCCAACTATCCAACTGGTCTCATAATACCCAAGATTTCAGATTCTCAGGCATTTAACACTGGTCCTATAAAGATCACTTCATCCACTAAATTATTTTTAGTAGTCATTCCTTTGCTTTATAAATTTATATTCAGCTGTGTTTGCTTGCAGCCCTTGCCAATGTTCAACTATTTAAATGTATAGCACCAACCTAACACTTTCACAATGATAGCACTGTATGTATAATATATTCATATGTAAAACATTATACTTTCAGACTGACAGTAACTGAGAATATGCTGATAATGACACTGAGCTCTTCCTCATGCTGGATAAGCAGCTGGTGGCAAGGCTCTCGGCACTATCCCAGTGCCTGGATGCAGTAGTCCAATGGTTAAGGGGGAGATGGCTGAAGTTGAAACTATCCATGACTGTGATGCTAGCTGGAGGGTTACTCCCGAGACTCGATGGTGTCTGGTTGACAGCTGTAGACTCTGCAAAGAACTTCAGGGTATGGTTGGCTTCTGCACTATCATTGGATAAACAAGTGTCCATGGTAGCACGGTCAACGTTTTTTCACCTACGCCAGGTCCACCAGCTGGCTGCTTATCGGTCTGGGTCAGACCTTGCCACATTGATCCATGCAAAGGCCACCTCCAGACTGGACTACTGCAATTTGCTCTACATAGGGCTACCCTTGAAAATGCTTCAGAAACTGCAGGTGGTCCAGAATGCAGCTTCCAGGTTGCTGACCGGAACGTCATGGTCAGCTCATATTTCTCCAGTTCTGCAGTAGCTGCACTGGCTACCAATTAGTCTCTGGATCCAATTCAAGGTGTTGGGGTTTAAAGCCCTTAATGATCTGGGACGCTCATACCTATGGGACTGCCTCTTCCACTACAAGCCCCCGTGTTCCCTTTGGTCATTGCCTAGGGACCTCTTGAGAGTGCCTGGCCCCAGGATGGCTTGGTTAGCTGTCACGAGGGGAAGGGCCTTCTCAGTTGCGGCCCCTGCCCAGCGGAATGCATTCTCAGATGACACCTGTGCCCTGTCAAAACTTGTTTCGTTTCCACAGGGCATGCAAAGCTGAATTAGTTAGGTTGGCCTTTAGAGGGTAACCAGAGGTTTGGGCCGTTTTCATAGTGGTATGGTGACAGCCACATATTTTAATGTTAATGTTTTATATTTGTTTTAATATTGTTTTTATCTTATTGGTTTTAATGCCTTCAGGTCGGTGGCGACTAAAAAAATCAAACAAAATAAAATAAATAAAACTTGAATTCACATTAATGTAGGTTTTCTAAAAAGGTTTTCTGAATGTTTCTAGGAAATAAAACAGCTAATATATGAATTCTCAGCAGCTGCTAACCATTACTGCAGCCTTTTGATAACATGCTAGAAAATTGGGTTTTAAACATTCCTCCATTATTTGCACAGTATCAAAGTGCTACCATCCACAATCTGAAGGGACCCTTGATTGTATTAAAGCTGAAACACTGACGTGGAGACGAGCAAGTTAAGCAAGCTCCTTCCCAAATGTGCTACTCAATCACTGTTAATCTACAGTAGGATAAAAACACACACAAGTATTGTCTAGAATGGTTTCTTCGTATAGCTCACTCTCGCCCAAGGAAGCTCACTGTAAACACCTTAATGAAGCCAATACCACTGATTTGGAGAATGCTAGCTCTAGAACCTGATGGATGCAGTAGAGAAATATTCACACTGTAACAAAGGACTGGCTCAGAACCAAGTGCTTTGCCCACTTCACACAACAGAATGACTGTACACAGCAGTACAGCACTTTATTTATTTATTTATTTATTTTATTACATTTGTACCCCACCCTCCCCGTGAACGGGCTCAGGGCGGCTCACATAAGGCACTATGTGCATATACAACTACAAATACAAATATAAATACAAGATTAAAACAATTTAAAATCAATACTTACAGATGCATAAATAAACTCACAAATACCATCATACGCACAGTGGGAGAGACCAGGGTGGTAAAAGATGTAGTATAGTAACAGAAAGGAAAGGCAGAAGGGAGCATATACAAAATTCTTGTAGTGCCATGATGGTCCAGAAGATCTTTTACATGTCTAACTTCTTTGGAGTTACTTCGATACCAAGCTCAAATTGACTTTTGTTTTCAGAGAATACAGAACAGACTAAAACTTAAAGGTACTCACAATGTCAAGTATTTCTCTGGTATGAGCTGCCGATAAACAAATTCTGGCTCTGGATTCAATTATTGGAGTGGCAGGGAACCCCACAACAACAACAGCTACGTGCCTTTTCAACATCTCTCGCCCAAATGCTCTGCAAAAGAAGACAAGATTAATGAAGGTAACAAAAGGAGGAGTAGCACTACCACCACTACAAGGCCTACACGGCTCCAATTCAAGAAGGCCTTTGGTAAAGAGTGCCTGGGAGGCCTCTTTTTCCAGTGTCGACTGCTTTGCCATGGCAGGAGAATGCCTAAACACAAAGGCCTCTTTTGTTCAGTCCAGAGGTGGTCTTCCTAGAAAGGTTTTCACTGTATCAAGTTCTCACAAAGCTAAAAGATTATATTTGGCAGGGGCTGGTCTTTCAGCAGGCTTCTTCTAAATGGATTTGTAACTCAAACTGGAAAATCATTTTGAGAAAATACAGCAACTTCACAAGAATTTCACTCACTGCCTCTCTCGGTTGCCTGCTATCTAAGCAGAAGGGTTGTGCTGCTCAGGGATATCCAGGGCCAAGCATTCCAAGATTCTACAAAGTTGCAAAGAAATCAGGCGGGTTTGGTATTGGGTATACACATTTCAGCTGAGTACTAGACTCAGCTTCCAATATGAGCGGGCTTTGGCCTTTGTTCTCCTGCATATTCCTGCCTGTCAACATCTACTTGCCTCCCCTCCTATCTGCTTTTCAGGGTCTGAGTTAGCAGCATGAGAACTGTCTGCAATGGTTGCTATGTTGTTGAATGCTGAATGGCTACTTCTCCGTACACAACTTACCCAATTTTTGCAGGCATATACAGCATCAAAGGTATAATAGGAGAGTCTTCATTTCCATAGATGATGAAACCCATTTTCTTAAGCCGCCTTCGGAAATACTTGGTGTTTTCAGACAGCTGCTGTATCCTCTGCTTGCCTGAAACACAAAAAGAGAAGAAAATGTAACTTATTATTGTATTCTTTTAAAATCATATTTGGATACCACTAACAGCGCAAGAGAAAGTATCACAAAACGTTAGCATCCCCTCAACATGATCAAGGTTGTCTTATTCTAATGGATTCACATTCTTTTTTCCACACTATTAAGAAAGCAGGAGAATTTGCCTGCGAGTCTTGGGCTGATAGCAAAATCACTCTATACCAGTTAAAATATTCTACACTAGCCAATTACTGGGAACCAAATGTAGACAAAAAGAGAAACTTAGTAAAGATCCAAAGGAAGGTTCCAGTTGGGAAGATCATGTCACCTTTTCGTCAGATACCCAATAAGTTAGCACACTTACAAACATGGTGGACAAGGGGAAAATGTCATGAACAACTGAATGCCATATACAGTGGAAGTAACATTTCTAGGTTAAGCTGGGCCAAGGCTATTGAGAAGCAATTGCATTTAGATAGTCTTAATCACAGTTGTGGGAAAGTATTTCCAAGACAGTGCCAGAAACACTTGGCATGTTTACATATTAGGCTTTCAAAGATTAATTCACATGACCATAATAGGCAAAACAGACTCCTGTGCTTGGGAAATTCCAGTTAGAAAACATGCCATAGTCTCGCCTCTATTGTACCCGACTTGTTCGCTCTGAAAACATCAGACCTTTCTATCACAGGATCACAAATGATCAATCCCCTACATTGGCTTCAGTGTACTAGATTTCCTTGAGGGGGGCTCAAATCCCAAGTCAGAACTGAAGTCATCAGAGCTTCTCATTTGCAGGATGAATTCAAAAATTATTCCTACAATGCTTCTCAAATTAAGCATCTGTTCTAAAACCACGGGTCTGCTCACTTTTTTATTTCCAAGATCTGCAATTACATAATTGCACTGAACTCTCTTCAATAATTATTTCTATGGTTATCTGAAGTGCTATTGGAATCAAAGGTCCAGGCATCAGTTGTTGTTTGGATTGCATGGCAAACTCAAGAAGCCTTTTCAGGATGACCATTTCTAGTTAGCTCTGCTGGTGCCTGGAGTTAAAAACATCTGTTCCTTTATGTAACAGATTTAATTTGAGTAATGCTTCCTTACTGGTAAAGAGGTCAATTTTATCACATTAAAAATTATCACAATTTCAGAAGTGTTCATGTGAAATTACAGAGACCATGTCTCTAAGAGGAGGGAAAATGCTTTATATTCTGCCATCAGTACACTGAACTGATTTTTTGGATCTAATGGAAACACAAAATATAGATGCAGACTAAAATAAAATCATACTCCTCCATTTGGACAACTAGGACACGTTGAATATGCCAATTCATAAGCCTTGGATGAGACACTTAAAATACTCTTCACTTTCCTTCTATGATGACAGATTTGCACGACACCGTTAAGCAGAAGCAGCACTCAACACTGAAGCAGCAGTTTCCCTGCCTGAGGCACCTAACATCAAGAGATATTGCCAATGAAAAAAAATCAAAGCCTGAATAGCAACAGGCCTCCTGGGTTGCTTCTGATTACGCCATGATACATGTGACACAAAGTACTGGAGCAAGCCTCAGGCTCATGCATTCCCTTCCACAGCTTGTAGGATCTTTAATGTGAACTGGCCTTACAGATGTAAAATGTGTGCGCAAACAGGCCTGCTCAGATGGCCTGATGTGGAAGAGATTACATGAGGCAGGGGAAGGGGCACGCTGATGCAATCATGGTGCCACAGAAAGTGCAAAGTAGCTATTTGGCAGCAGTCTCTTACAGGCAGTTTCTCTATGGCAAACATGATAGATACTGTATTTGAATCCAAGCACACTATTAAGAACATAAGAGAAGCACCAGACCAGTGGTCCATCTAGTCCAGTATCTTGTTTCACACACTGGCCAACGTTGCCCTGGAAGGTCAACAAACAGGGTATAGAGGCCTTCCTCTGATGTTTGTTTGTTTGTTTATTCAACTTGATATACCGCCCTAACCCCCCGTAGGGGTCTCTGAGCGGTTTACATGAAGGGTTCTAGTCACAATTTTAACCCTAACCAGTGCTAGGAGGCAACATCCCATCGTTTCATAGATACTGTCAGTGATTTCAAGATGCCTCTATCTTGAGAGCACAAAGCAATCCAAGAGATTAGAGAAACCAGGTCTGATGAGGCTGCACCAAGAAGCTGATGCCTACAGGAAATAAGCCTGATGACAGCTCAACTGCAACATATTAAGGTAGCTTTCCTGCATGCCTTTAGAGAAGGGTGGGAGATAGCAAGGACTCTGAATTGTGCCTTTGAGAACTTTGGTTCCAGGGGATGATGGGGGGCACTGTTATTGGGCAATTAAATGTAACTGGGGATGGTTAAAAGATTGGCACAGTTCATAAGAAGTACAAAGATGAAAAGTCTGAATGAAGTATAAAAAGCTAGTTGGAGATCTCCTCTCTTGGATTTTTAGTTAGTAGTGGGTTCTTTACTTTCTCCCTTATATGTAGCTTTCCCTTTCCCTTTTTTCTGTTCTAGTTTTTGTAGTGTTTAAAAAATCAATAAAAAATCCCCTCCGGGGGCTTAAAAAAAAGAAAAAAAAGAAATCTCAATTACTATGCACATTCTACTGTCCAAAAGACAAGGTTTTTTTTTCTTTTAGATTACTGTCCGTTCTCGTCCCCCCCATTTCCAACATACAATTTGGTTGGGAAAGAGGAAGAAAGATATCCAGATTGTTAATGTTTAAAATGTTTTAACTTTTGTATATGGTTTTGACTTCCGGTCTGTGGCTCGGCGATGGCGGACACTCTCCCCGACCGCTGGGGAGGTATTCCGCACTCCAGTGGGGTTGGAGGGGTGCCACCTCAAGTGGCACTCCCAGGTGAGCCTTAGTGAAAGGCTCCGAGCCGGGGGCGCTGGAGGGGCGACCTCTTCAACGGTGCATTGCCAGAGAATTGAGGCGCTCCTTTGCCTCAATCGGTCCGCTCCCTGTGAGGTTCGGTTTTTACCGAGCTTAGCCGATGCCGACCAGGACAAGCAGCGAGGGTTATCGATTTAACCAAGTTACAAGGAGTCTGGATGCAGACGGGCAATGAATCGGAGAATGAGCCAAGTGAAAAACTTTTTTTAAAAGTGAGTTCCCCCCCACACCCTCCAGAAAGCAGCGTCGGGGAAGACTCCCAGGCGTAAACAAACTGAAATGCTCTAACCAAACAGGGGGGGGGAGGAGAAAAAAGAATTGCGGAAGTGTGCAAGAGACTTAGCTGTGTTTGCAGAAAAACTTGAGCGTTTTTTCGAAGAAGAATGAAGTCGGTCTTCTAGTGTAAACAAAGTAGAAAAATGGTCGGCGTGCGAGGAAAGCCAGGCAGACAAATTGGGAGGGGCGGTCAGAGTCCGAGGGGCGAGGAGACAGGAGACTTGCTCTCTATGCTAACGGATCTGCTCAAGCCAATAAACGAAAGACTCGATGGTATTAACCAGCAGATGACCGCATCCAACCAAAGTCTTGCAAAGCAA